TAGGCAGCAAAGATTTAATTTGAAAAAAAAAAATAAGGTATCAACTTCCTGACTCATCGATGGCCCTCTCTCCTGTGTTCTCACATGGTAGGAGGGCCTATCACTATCATTTTTATTAAGAAAGTTTTTTTAAAAAAATATAAATTTTTACTTATTTATTTTAGAGAGAGGGGGAGAGAGAGAAACATCAATCTGGCTGTGTCCTGCACGTCCCCCACCGGGAATCAAGCTTCTAATTTCAAGGAAAGGATAGCCCTGTAAATTGAATACTTTTTTAGCTTTATGAAACATTACATGGGCCCTGTTGTTTTCATGTCGTTAAGATTGGACTCGCACAGATTCTTATAGGCATTTAGTCCAGGACCCTCACTTTACCGACAAACAAATTGAGCGTCAGTTAAGATATTGTTGGAAACAAACCACACAGAGCATAACCTGTGGAACTGGCAGCCCAGCCACTAGAAACCATGGCTTTGGTGTAATTGGTTGGTGTCATTATCACTTGATGAACGTTTTCAAGCATTGTTCTCAATTACAGAGGAGGAAACTTCTTACTCTTACTTCTTAGGAACCAGACATCGTTTACTCTGAAAACACTTGATAAAAGATCTACCATATGGGTCTCTACCCCAGAGTTCCTGATTTAGTAGGTCTGGAGGGAAGCCGATGGGTGTGCAGGAGGCTGCTGATTGATATTTCTCCCTCTCATTGATGTTTCTCTCTCTCCCCCTCACCCTTTCTCTCTCTCTAAAATAACAAAAACTTTTTTTTTTTTTAAAGAATGAATCTGGTGAATCCTTTATAATTATGGGAGTCAGATGCTAATGAATTTGGTCCTGGAGTCATTCGTTGCATAGTTTCCTAATTTCATGCTTCCAAAGAAACCAGCTTAGATGCTCTCCAGGGTGTCTATATGATGAGATTTTCTGGCTCCTCTTCAGTCTTCCTTTGCCAGAGGCCTTTTGTTCTTTCTGTGATGTGATGGAGTAGATCCTTTCGGGAAGGAGACCTATATTTTCTTTCTTTTTTTTACTATAAGCTCAACTTTTAAATTTAATTTTTGTTTTGTGAATTTTTAAAAATTTTTCAATTACAATTCACATTTAATACTATTTTGGGTTAGTTTTAGGTGTGCAGCATAGTCGTGAGACAATCATATACTTTATAAAGTGTCCCATCCTCCTCCCCTCCATATATCCAGTAAGACACCTGTGTTTTCAAGATGACTGATGTGTTGGTGTATGGGAAGAGTTCACTGTTCTTTGATAGAATTTATGACTTTAAGCTGTTAAGAAGCTCAGATATGAAATGACTGTCCCATGTTGTGTTCTGTAGCGGGGGAGGGAAAATATTTCCTCTACCCTCCTAGGTTCAGTAACTGGGACCTACACATTAAACTGATAATAGATGAGCAGGAGAAAAGGTCCATTTCATATGCCCATTGAGCATTATAGAAAAGAAGTGGGGAGAAACAAGGAAGTAGTTAGGCCTCTGAGCTTAATACCAACTTAACAGAGGGTAGTAAGTTGTGGAGAAGAGACTAGACAAAGGAAAGGGGGGATTGGGGCTTCTGAGGGGGGTAAATTATGGGAAGACAAATGTATGGGGGAAACTAATGGAAGATAAGGGTTCCTTTATTAATGTTTTTTAGTACAGATTCATCTCAGTGCTATCCTTTCATCTCCACTGATAAGGGTTGTTCTCTTTCTGGTTCAGGAGAGGAGTGGGGGGCACCATTACACAGGGAAATCTATGCCCTGATTTTAAGCAGAAAGGAGGAGGGCAAAGAGTTCCTTCTTGTTGACTGTTTCTTGTCTTCAGCTCAAAATAATCCTTATTCCAAAGTGGCATATTTTGGGGTGGCGTAGTCTGATTTTCTTTAGGTCACACAGGCCAGAACTGCTGCTAAACTTCTACTGGATACACTATCAGTGGTCGGCAAACTGCGGCTCGCGAGCCACATGCGGCTCTTTGGCCCCTTGAGTGTGGCTCTTCCTAAGCCTTAGGAGTACCCTAATTAAGTTAATAACAATGTACCTATCTATATAATTTAAGTTTAAAAAATTTGGCTCTCAAAAGAAATTTCAATCGTTGTATTGTTGATATTTGGCTCTGTTGACTAATGAGTTTGCCGACTGCTGCTAGGTCAACAAGACATTAGTTTTCTAATAACATGATTTCTCTCTTAAATTAATATTTATTTTTCTGGATCAGCCAAAAAAAATGTTGTAGTAGAGTGTTAGGTTAGATGTAAAAAGTAGGAAACTGAAAGAAATCCTCAATTTTTTTCCTTAGAATTCAATTACAGATAAGTAATCTCTTGCTGCCCACTGTGATTAATTCAGTCATTTCTGAAGGCAGAAAAACACATGAGACGGTATTTGAATTCAGTTTTTGGAGTCTCCCCAAAGCTAAATGTAATGCTTTCCTCATGATCAAATGTGTACCGTGGAGAAGTACAAGGAGTGCCCAAAGTCAAGGTGAATTAGAGCCTTCTGGGAGCTTTGTCTTTGTGGTTCGGTTCTCCGCCTACACAGACGTGGGAGGAGTCCGCTTGAGGAAGAGTTCTTTGTGATGTACTGCTCACCCTTTGCCCCGGGGCCTGTGGGAGCATGTCCAGGTATTCTTGCTGAGTGTACTGAGTCTGCAATAAAGAGTAGGCAGGTAGCCTGGGATAGGTGTGCAGTGCTCCCCAAATAGACTTAGGTGGTAAGAGTTGATCACCAGGACAAAAAACGCTTTTTAAATTTTTTTTTTTTAATTTTTGAAAATTTATCGATTTTAGAGAAAAGATGAGAGAGAGAGAGAGAGAGAGAGAGAGAAACATCGATTTGTTGTTCCACTTATTTATGCATTCACTAGTTGATTCTCCCCACCCCCAGCCCTCCACCCCCCACTGGTTGATTCTTGTTATGTGTCCTGACCAGGATCAAACCCGCCACCTTGGCATATTGGAACAATGCTCTACCAGTTGTGCTACTTGATCAGGTTTTTTTGTTTTTTGTTTTAATTAAGCTATAATTGTCATGTAGCCTTATGTTAGTTTCAGGTGTACAACATAATGATTCGGTATATTGAAAATAATCACAAGGCTAGTTAACATCCATCACCATATGCAATCACAAAATTTTTTTTCTTGTGATGAGAACTTCACTGCCTATACCAGTGATGGCGAACCTATGACACGCGTGTCAGAGGTGACACGCGAACTCATTTTTTTGGTTGATTTTTCTTTGTTAAATGGCATTTAAATATATAAAATAAATATCAAAAATATAAATTTTTTTACTATGGTTGCAAAGATCAAAAAATTTCTATATGTGACACGGCACCAGAGTTAAGTTAGGGTTTTTCAAAATGCTGACACGCCGAGCTCAAAAGGTTCGCCATCACTGGTCTATACTCTTAGCAATTCCAAATACACAATATTGTATTTTCTAGTAGAGTCACCATGCTGTACCCCACATCCCCAGGACTTACTTATCTCATAACTGGAAGTTTATACCTAACAAAGGCCTTTCTTGATCATAGTGCCACTCTGCTGGAGAGGCTGGCAGGAGAGGGGGGGTTTTGAAGAAGCCTGAGAAACAGTTTGCACAGTCGATTGTTTGTATTCATGTAGGCTGATTTGTTGGGACTTTGCATCAAGTACCCTTTTGCAAACAATCCTGAAAAACAAAATGGCTTTCTTTCTCCATCTCCCCCCCCCACCCC